GATATTGAAGGCAAGGCAAGACAAGTTTATTCATATAGCACCTTTCAACACGAGGCAATTCAAAGTGCTTTACAAAAATGAAAGACATTAAGAGCATTAAGAAACATATTATAAAATGGCATTTAAAAACACTCATTTAAAAGCACATCTGAAATGTTTAGCTCTGACTCTCAATCATTGCTCACTTATTAGCAGAAATAGTTTTCTATGACCTCACTTTCTTTCTACTTTCTTTTTTTTAACTTATCCTTTAGTTATTTCAAGTGTTTCATGCTAAACGAACCCCCTTTGGAACATTTTAATCTGCAACCCAACATTCCCAAAATCCAACGGATCCTGGCCGTATTCGTGTAGCATATAAAATGAATTTGCTCCCAGACATTCATGTGGCTTGCTAGATTTGGACCCCATCTGTAACCCCAATACACGTAGGGGACTTTATTTGAAGTAGAAAACTATAACTGTCTTTATTTGATTGCTTTATATCCATCCATCCAGGGACCCCAACGAAGGAGAACTGAGCGTGCCTGCTACCTGGCCAACATTCAACAGCACTGGACAGAAGTTTGTGGAGCTCAACTCTAAGATGAACGAAAGCTATGTGGGAGAGAATATGAGAATGCCTTTCGTGGATTTATGGAACAATTAATACCCAACCTCCCCAACATCATCCCCACAATCATCCCCGAATAAAGATCACATGCATCAGCTGTGCACTTCAGTGTGGACATGACCAGTGTTCAATTATTATTGGTTCATGAAAAAATAAATGAATGGCAAATACAATTCAATTTCCTCGGTTTCATTATTTTATGTCTTGTATTGACCTTTATACATTGTAGTGCGAAAAAACAAACACATTACATGTATGGAATCTAAGCTAAGATGCTAGCCTACTAATTATTGTGCTTTTATATTAAACCACACATGACAGCATCATAAAGGAGACATTAAAGCAGTGGTTCTCAACTGGTCAGGCCTCGGGACCCACTTTTTACTTGGTCAATACATCGCGACCCAACATTTTGAAGCACTCAAATCTATTCAACAAAAAATCGTGCTGTAATATATACGCTTTTTAGAATACAATATTAATAAAAGTGAAGTACAGTGCATATATCCCTTCACAGAACTAAAGTATGCTTTAAAAAAAGGTTTAATGAGATGATGGAATCAAAGCTGAACTATATAAAAAGGCACACATGCTGAAAACCCAACCCCAGCAGGGGGGTCTGGGGGGATTCTCCCCCAGGAGATTTTTAGAAATACTAACATAAACTACGCATTCTGGTACACTCTGAGAAGAAAATAAATAAATCTATTACTACCCGATTAATATATTTTTATGCCATTGTTTGTTTTTCACTTAGTTCTGACAGCTTGCTGAGAGAAGAGTAAAGAGGAGATAGTCTGTGTGAATTACTTTACATTGTGGGTAAGGGTAGATAGCTCCCATTGTTCTGTGACCTGTCAATCATCCAACCGGGGGGTCATATTTCATTATGTGTTCATTTTTTATCTGAAGTTGTACCCATGGATGTATAAAGAATAGTTCTACCGCAGTTATTCTCCGTGGGGATTTCCGTCAACAATCTTGATTCTGATTGGCCAGAAGACTCGAAAAAACATCAGCAGAGATGTTTTATTGGGAAGATGATCACTACGTGACAGAAGTTTTCAAAACCATTTATGGTCTCCGGTACTTCCAGTCCAACGCCTACTGCATGCACAGCGTTAGAAAATCGGTCCTTCAAAATAAAAGTTTGCATTTTTCCCCAAAAAAAAAAAAAATCCAATTTTTTTTTTCGACTTTTTTTTTCTTCACTCACACATCCGCGACACACTTGAAACGGGTCCGCGACCCACTTTTGGGTCGCGACCCACCAGTTGAGAACAACTGCATTAAAGCACTACTTTGTTTGAAAAAGTGTATTATGATTGTATTTCCTCAGTTCAACAGATGGGGGAGCTATAGCACATCAGCATGGACACTACTACATTCATGGCAGCTGTTAATTTAACAAAACTCTCACAGTGGGCTAAAGACAATTACACTGCGCTAAACAGCCAAATCGACAAACAACCGAGAACTTAAATAGTATGTAATTATATCTAAAACCACACCTCTCCACACTCGTTGGTTTGGAACAGCACTTAATGTGGCGGACCCTCTGCGCGAACGCGCAAACGGAGGGGTAGTGTGTAGGGGTAGGGTGTAGGGGGCGGTTTGGGATTGGGCCTTAAAGTCCATTGCAATCCGCCAAAAACCGAGAGAAGAAGAATTGGATTAAACACCTGCAGAGGTTTCATTAAGTGTATTTACACCTATTAGCTTAGTTTTATGGGCTCAGAACAGTCTCATAATACACACATGCACACAGAAGGATTCACACTTGTATTTCATGATCCGCAAAAGGACTCACACTTGTATTTCCGGATCCACACTTGTGTTTTTCAATGCACACACAAATGTGTTCCGTTTCATATACATGTAAATAAAATCCAAATACAGAAAAAAGTTTTACATATGTATTTTTGATCCTCACATATTTGTTTTCCGTTTAAAACCGCTGCACCTACAAACACAAACCGCTTTCTGTGCATGGATCGCTGTGCATTCGTGTGTGGGTTTTTTGAGACTCCCCTGACGGTCACCCGATTCGTACTTGTAATTTTTTCTATCTATAGCCAATCAGATGTCTCCTCAATTCTAAGCCAATCACATGAGCGCGCCCCCACGAGGGTAGATTTCTTGCGTTCATGACGTAGCGCTTCATGTACGCATTTTGCGCTGTCCGGAGCTGACAGGTCCATGGAGCCTGCCTGCAGGCGCTAATCTCAGGACACTTCCACTCTCAGTACATTGCCACTTTCCGAGCAAGAAATGCACGCAAATACAAGCCTTTATATTATTAAGGTACAGTGCCACTTTCCGAACCATTAATGAATGCTTGTGTACATAAAAACGGCAGGCAAAACCGTTTTAAATGTGTGTTTCCTGTATGGCAAATACAGCTGCTTTATTTATGTCTGTATGAAGTTGTTGTGAGTGTGGAGGGAGCAGCTACAGGTTAGCTTAGCCTAATCGATCAGTGCACTACGAAGCCAGTGCTAGACAGTGAACTGTCAACGGGGGGAGCCCCGCCGGTCATTATCGGCCGATATTCACTCTTAATAGTTTGATCGGTGCTCTCTATAAAGGCCAATCAGGAGAGCTGGATCTGATCGATATGGACATAAACGCGAGTGAAGTTTTAGCGAGCTGCATGAGAAACTGACGGGCTGTCAGGAGAGAGGGAGGGAGAGAGGAAAAAAGATGATCCTTTTACTCCCGTGTTATTAGCCATATCCGGTCATAGTCCGGTAATTACCTGCTAACGGAAACTCTGCTACACAATTCTTCTTCTTCTTCTTCTTCTTCTTATTGAAACATGACCGGTAAGTTTCAAATTTGTCCGGTAAAATAAATTCTGTCCGCGGAAACCGTGCTCCGGACAGCGCAAAATGCGTATATGAAGTGTCATGAACGCAATAAATCATACCCTCGTGGGGACCCGCTCATGTGATTGGCTTAGAATGAAGGAGACATCTGATTGGCTATAGATAGAACAAATTACAAGTACGAATCGGGTGGCCGTCAGGGGAGTCTCAAAAAACCCACACACGAATGCACAGCGATCCATGCACAGAAAGCGGTTTGTGTTTGTAGGTTCAGGGGATTTAAACGGAAAACAAATATGTGAGGATCAAAAATACATATGTAAAACTTTTTTCTGTATTTGGATTTTATTTACATGTATATGAAACGGAACACATTTGTGTGTGCATTGAAAAACACAAGTGTGGATCTGGAAATACAAGTGTGAATCCTTCTGTGTGCATGTGTGTATTATGAGACTGTTCTGAGCCCATAGCTAACAGCTAAAGTCTAACAGCTAACGGCTATCGGCTAACAGCTACAGTTATTATTCCAGTTCGGCTCTGGGTGAGTAACAGTTGATTTGTAAAGCTCAGCTGACTTTATGTTAGTTATTTATTACACCAGTTGTCTTTAAGACAGTTTAAGTTGTTGTGTTGGTGCTCTTTACCATAGATATGGTTTTAAATATATGCTAACTAGCTTATTAGCATCGCCATTCACCGTGACGTAGCATTTTTCCCATTGAAATGAATGGGGTTCTTCAGTTAGCAGCTAACGCTAAGCTAAGCAACGGTTTAGCTCATTAGATAAATAGATATACTTTATTTAAATAATTATTTATCTTAAACTGGGAAATGATTGTGTCACAGCAGAAGTGTTTTCAGGCATTACACGAGTTAAACATATTTAAAAGATACAATAAGATATAATAAAAATGAAGCATTAGCAGCAAGTATACACACAGGACACATCACTAGAGTATCTAAAGAATACACAATATACAGAAAATACTGTATACATGGAGTACATTAAACAGTCTCACTAGCTAATGTTTGCTTTCTGTGTTAACTTAGTGATAGTTAATGACACGGATAGCGTTATAACCGTGGTTCAAACCATTAATGTCACTTTCTATGTGAATAAAGTTATTTTAATTAAATAAAAGTGAACAAACTGTGAGCTGTAAATTAGAATGTAAGTTGCTACACAGATTATGATGAATTATATCTAAATATTTATATTATATTTATAATAATTTACACAGAAAACCAACTTTTTATCGTAATGGTTAAAGTCATTTGCATGTAACGTTAATAACTATCTGACCTTTCTATAATTTTCTCCTCTGCTTAGCATCACATTGACTAAATGGATCAATTTTGAACATGTTTACGTCACAGTAGCATAGATAAGACAAGGCACTGCACATGATGTGATAAAACACTACATATAAGCATATAGAAATAGAACATATCATTGAATAAACTCTTTGAATTCCTCCTCTTCACTCCTGACAGTTTTCCACCTGAAGCAGCTCTGTGGACAGCTCTGTGGACAGTCAGGACAGCTGATGAGCAGCATGGAGGAGAAGAAGAAAGAGACCCCTGGAGCTCAGGTCAGTGTGCACTTCATCACAATATATTCCTAATTCCAGCGTTTCCGAAAGGCGGGCGTCTTGCCGTCATTTGACGCCCTTATTCAGCTCGGAACGCCCTGAACTCGAGCCGAGGGCGTCCAAAAGAGTTTTATCACTTGAAATGACGAAAAGGAAAAAGGACAAGGACATTCCTCTGTTGGAGGGGCAAAGGAGTCTGGTGGGATTCTTTTCACCGCCAGCAAAGCGTGTTCCTGTGACGGAAAGTGTACTGCCGGCGAGCCTTGGGAATTCCCATCACTAATACGTAAAGAGATAGTATCTATAAGGGACGGCTCAATTCAAAATTCAAGTCCAGGGTAGGGCTGTGCAATTAATCGTTTTTTAATCGCAATTACGATTTTGGCCTGCCACAATTACAAAAACAACATAATCGAAAAAAACGATTATTTTGCTTTGCTAGGTTGTGACAGTGCACTGCAACATATTTGATCTCATTTATATATGTTTAGTAGCTTGTTGAAGTGCGCTCCAAAATATTTGTTGATCTTTTTTATTGGTATTTATTATTTTGATATCATTTATTTAAATGTAAATATAAATGTATCATTTATTTAATTTATTGGTTTTTCAGTTGAATTATACGTTCAGGGTAATCAACAGTTAAACAGATACTGTTCAAATTATTATTTTAATTTGTTTTAAAGTTTTCAAAGTCAATGAATAATCGTATTTAATAATCGTGATATCAATTATTGACCCAAATAATCGTGATTATGATTTTTGCCATAATCGCACAGCCCTAGTCCAGGGTTTCCCACACAGTAGAGGTTTCTCAATACTCTAATTTCCCCTCCTCGACTCCTATCCTCGAGATTTAGTGCCGCCCACAGGAGATGCGAGCGGAGGACTGAGGAGGGGAACCGAGGAGAGAGGAGGGGAAGCAGCAGGCGGTTAGAGAAATGAGATCTCCTCTCCTCTAAGCGGTCATTTTAAAGAGACGTCCATTAATGACGACAGGAGGCACAGCAGCCCTCTGTCTGATGGACAGATGTGTTCATGACCACTTATATATTTACTTTTAATTCATTCACAGTGCGGTATAATGAGACAATAACAGGCTACAGATGCGGACATACACACACAATTCAGAATCAAACAAGTATGAGAGCACTCTCATAATAATGTAACACAATCAGAGACTAGATATATCCCCCCCCCCCTCTCTCTGGTCGCTGAAATGGGGAATTGAAATTACGGGCCAAAAGTTGTATTTACAAGTATTAAAAGTAAGCATACAGATGAAGCGTCTTATTTTGGACAGTTTAAAGTGCGAGGGTCGTGATCGGTTCATGCACGTTCCGTGATGGCCGGCCGGCCCCCAGTCAGACTTGATACCGCCCCCATGATAAATACATTTAATTATTGTGAAGCCAGCTGCAATGGATCATTGATCCACCAGGGGGTGCAGTGGGGTTCCACACTGGAGTCATGTGAAATCAACTTCTAAATAATAGATGTTGTTTAGTCGGAAAAAACGAACGAGCCGGCTCTCCCGATTTTTAATCCTAATTTAATCATCATCATTGATGTTTATGTTCGCCGAATTGACATGAAATCACTGACAAATATGAATATTCTGTATTCAACTTCATTGAAACGATCAGGATGGGTGTTATTTTTCCCCACAATGACCAAGTCGCTGCAAATGATCCCATGTATTACATGTACATGGCCACATTCTCAACAAAGTTACGTAACGAAACATTCTGTATTCCTTGCTTACTTTTTATTTAATGCTTTATAACAGCTGGAATAGTTCGTTTAGAACAGGCACCTCACTCGCAATCTGCTCCTCCGCAACGCCTACCACCTACCTCCGGCTGAAATTATGAATGTACAGTAAGGCATAGTAATCATAGATAACACGGCAGGGTCCGTTACAGTTTGTTTTCATCTGATTTCAAATATTTCAAATGTCTGAAGTTAATAAATACATTCTCAGTGTTCAAGTCAATAATAGTCATATAAGAAAAGTACTGATCTAATAACAGAGATTTTATAAGGACTTTTCAATGTTCGACATCGCTCATGTACAGTAAACTGGATGTTGTGGTGCCGAGAGGCGGGGTATCAAAAGTACAAGCTAAACTTTTATTTAGCATCTGAACACACTTGTAAACAACGTGATGCCCGGGAAGCGAAGACCCGGCGGAAACAGCTGGTCTGGTTCACTAAAATGTCCGTGTACAGTATATCTGGTACTAATGTATAGCGGATCTTTGTTAAGATCCATATGTCACGGATATAACTATATATTGAGCTTAAAAACAAATGATATATATTATAATAAAATAAACACCGGCTGTTGTTATGCCTGCTGTAACGTTTACTTTCTCCGTTCTCCGCTTAAGTAATTATTACTTCCTGGTTAGCTTTCCGCTCGAAATTTAAATCTGAAAATGGCAAAATAACGGAGAAAAAAACGTTCACAGCGAAGACGACAACAATTGTCACTTGCACTTGTCATTTAGCATCTGAACACACTTGTAAACAACGTGATGCCCGGGAAGCGAAGACCCGGCGGAAACAGCTGGTCTGGTTCACTAAAATGTCCGTGTACAGTATATCTGGTACTAATGTATAGCGGATCTTTGTTAAGATCCATATGTCAGTAGAGATGGGATGGCAGAAGGTGCTATATATATATATATATATATATATATAATTCCAAAGCTGGTAAAGACCTTTCAAATTTAGCAATAATAGTCATATAAGAAAAGTACTGATTTGTTCTTGAATCAACTTTTTTATGGAAAATGTTTTATGTAATTTTATTTCATTTTAAATAAAATGAAAGACATTCACAGTTAATGTAATTAGATATACATTATTAATGCCATACATTTTTAAATGTAATTAGATATACATTATTAATGCCATACATTTTTGCATAAATATTTATTCAGTATGATAGCTGTCTAACAGAAGTTAAATCCATTTCTCACTTATTCTGACAATGTACTTAACCCCAAATAAAAGAACCCAATAAAAATAGTTGTTAAATAATAGTGAAGTCACGTATGTAATAACAATAACTCATCTCTCTCGGTTTTTTTTGTTTTCTTTGTGTGCTTTGCCAAAAGCCACTGTGTCAAGTGTCCTAGTTGGGTTACCGTAACGAACAGCAGCCGGCTCTCGATTTTTAATCCTAATTTAATCGTTTATGTTCGCCGAATTGACATGAAATCACTGACAAATATGAATATACTGTATTCAACTTCATTAAAATGTTATTAACGTGCCTAAACTCAGTAATTCACTAAAAATTACTGATCCCTCCGCGTCGCGGAGGGATCTTGATCCCTGGGTGTTATTTTTCCCCATAATGACCAAGTCGCTGCAAATTATCCCGCTTATTACATGGCCACATTCTCAACAAAGTAACGACATGACTCCCAATATTAATTAAAATGCTTTTATGGATTTAGAAAATATTTTTATTGATTTAAAACATAGTTCTATGTATTGATTTAAATTTACATGCATCCGCTAAGAAAAATAGTCCGTTGTTACCGTTTTTTAAACAGTCAGAATGAAACGGCAGCTCTCAGCTGTGTGTTCACACTCCTAACTCTGATCTTTCTTTTCCAACAGTTAAGTTAACTGTAGGTTACTCTGAGTGACAAGCTTACAGTTAGTGAAGTAACACTTTTTTTTTGTGAGTCACGACCTCGCTGTTTCATTCTAACATAACGCTCCAAATATGACTGTTTCCACTCGGACTTCAATACAGCAACACCATTGTTTGGTTTCCATGGTAGCGTGTCTCTTTAGTAGCGTGCACTCCTTTCCTGTAAATTACAGGTCCAGCCAGGCAAAACAGTAATATGAAATATGAACGTTAGTTTTTAACTGAAATGATCAAATAAAGTCAAAATGTCACAGTGTTTACAAACATTGACCATACCGTTCACCTGCCCCCACCCCACTCTTTGTTTAAAACGAATTGGCCATCGGAATGTGTGTGTCCCAACCCCCCCCTGTGATATCTCTTCACAGGGGGGAGAGAGTTAGACGCTCGTGAATTGTCAACGGGGGGGGGGCCTCTCTGCACGGAGGAGCCGCGGAGAAGTGAATCACAGTGATCTGCTATTTTAAAGTAAATTCAACACATATCGACCCTAAATATAGCATATATTAAGAACGAGAAAGTGTTAACATCGTTTTTTGTAAACATATGACCAATGTGCGAGGGTGATGACATCAGAGCATCGTCCTATGGGCTTAGCCCCGGACAGGTACAACAGGTATTCACTCAGAGGGGGGGTAGTTACTCATTTACATGTCAAAAAGCAACATACAGTAGGCGGGTGGGGGATGGTGAACGTTTACATTTCTCTACAGCAGTGGTTCCCAAACTTTTTGTGCCCAAGGCACACCAAAGGACAAGTAAAAATCTCAAGGCACACCTATTGTGCGAAATAGCCCTTATAACACGTGTTATCACTCATATCATGTAAAATATCTGTAAATGTGCATAATTATTTACTAATGCCAAATAAAATGTATAGATAGAACAATCAGTGGTTCAAGTTAGTATATTCCTCAGTGTAACATATCCACTAGTTGCAAAGCTTAAACATTTTTATATATTTTTTTATTTTAAGGGAAAGGATGTTTTCACTACTCAGTTTGTCAACTATGTTACGGACAAACTTGATGTCATTACAATCATTTGATTAAGTCCTGCACTTCAAGTAAAATCAAATTTGAAAGGCTCTTGAGTCTATTCTACCATATATCCAAAGATTTTTTAAAGTTTAAAAAATAATTGTATTAAAGTTTTGTTTTTTCATGTGATATGTTCAGCACTGTCATTAAGTTTAGGGATATTTTGTATTATAAAACTACCATACAGGTCATTTTGATAGTTTTAAGAGATGTCATGTAAAACTCCAACCTGTGTAGATATACATTATACTATAAAGGATATCAGAAGCACTATTTTAGATATTTTAAATTTGAAAAAATGAGGTGCAACATAGTTGACAATGAAAGTCAAACATTTGACGCAAATAACATAGTTGACTGGACACATTATTAACCATCAGCACTATGTTAATTTCAAGGCAGAAGTGCAAAATTCCATTGATAATGATGTGTAATGACGTCTACATGTCGTACAAATTGTCAACTAGGTTACCTGTCAACTAAGTTACTACAGTTATTACAGTACTGGGTAACTCAGTTGACAGGTAACCTAGTTGACAATTTCCCTATTTTGACCCATCATTTCAATGGTAGGCCTTGCCTGGATGACCACATGTCATTTTCTTGAACAGGTTAACATCACATTTGCACATATAATTGAATTAAAATCATTAAACAATTGTAAACCATAACAATGTACGTAACATTGTTGATTGTCAATGAGTATATTAATTGACCATGTGCTATTATACATAAAATATTGTAAAAATGTAGAGGACAATCACCACAGTGTGTTCAAAATGTCTGCCAAAGAGGAACATGGCATCATGTGATGCTGGTGACATGGTATTGGGACAAACAATTTTTGAGTTAAAGGGGGAAGTTCTGTTAGTAACATAGTTGACAGAACTTTTGCGGACATTCATATATTAAGATATTTAAATTATTTAAAGGGGGAAATCAATTAAAAATATGTTATTATTCTTTAGTATTTAGACTTTTGAAATAAATGAATCATTTTTTAAATTTACTTTAATGGTTTTTATTCATTATTTTGAATCCAAGACACCCTCAACTGAAAAACGGACATAGCAAAAACTGACAATTTAAGAACATCATGACACATTTCAAGCTAAATAAAGCATAGGATGCACATAATGTTTGTGTGATATTATAACATGCTTTCCAATAATAGGCAAAATATGATATTTTTGAAGAAAATAGTTAGAATAATTATAATTATCATCAATGGACATCAATGGACATGGAATGTACCCTAAATTGTAGAATCACTCAGCAGTTACATACACCAAACCTTCCAGTTATATTCCTATCAATATTATGAAGGCTTTTACAGAAGGGTTTGGTCATATATAATTCATAGCCTGAATTATATAACATTTTATACCTAAAAACATGGTGAAAATTGATATTTTAGGGCTGTTGACAGTATTTTCTGATTTATGGAGTGATACAAAGAGATATCCAAAATCCCTTCTGTAAAAGCCTTAGATACTAATATGACTACAAAATGAAACAATAATTTTGATCCTGGCTTTATCCAAAGTTCAGATTTCGGTTCCTGAAATGTGTTAAAATATGCGCATATTTCATGAGATAATGGTTCATTTGGATATTTAAACATGCTATTTCAGAAAACTTGTAATACAAAAAACAATTGCCTTATTGTAAGTAATTAACTGGAGAAATATTTAGCTGATATCTTTAAGTTAAAAATACCCTATTCACCTGGGGTGTCTCGCCTTAATTAGATGTTTGATAAGTGCAGATCACATAGTAAAACACGTACACAGATACATTATTTTGTATTTTTATTAAATTCGACAATGTCAATTTCACTTTCCACTATGTCCACCGTTGTTTTTCACAACCAATGGCAGAACTTTATTGAGGCCTGTAATTAGTCAACTACAGGTCTCTTGAGTCAGTCTTTTTCTTCCAAAAAGCTTGTGACAAGATGTTATTGCTCTTGGGGCATTAAAAACAAGATTTTAACTTTAGTTTTTTATATAATATCTGCATTTTCTATTGTGAAAAACTAAGTCTTAGTTATTTAATATATAGAGCCATCTCCTGGTTAAACCCTGAAATTGGAGAATAGTGGGAGGGCCTAACATTCCTGAATACTGGTCTTTGGCAGGCAACTGGCTGGCAACTGGCTGGCAGTCGGCAGGAAGCTGTATGCTGGGGTCCAAAATAAGAGGCTCCATCTGTAGGACACCAAACCAACTGAGACCCGTCTGTCCGCCGCATCTACGCACTGTACAACACACACACCTACACCACACACACACACCTACATACTGTACCACACACACCTACAGCTCCTAAAGCATAATCAGGCTACAGCCGTTGTGTATTTTATTATGTGAAGCACTAAATGGTCTTAGAAAAATATCGACTCTTTGTTTGTAGATATCTACTAAACTAAAGCAAATCAAGAGAGTAGGCCTGTTATACTGAGTGATATATATTTTACACACTGCTCTGCTTTCTGCACGGACCTCACAGCTGTTCTCACTGTAAACATCGCGTCGCGATGAAAGCAGTTACTAAAATAATCTCCAGGGGATGCATGCAGAGCTGTCATTGGCTGAGATAAGTCCGGCCGTGCGTAACGCCTCCACCGTTCCCGGAAATGCATCCGCGGAGTAGCCGTGGAGGACCCATCAGTGTCTCCTCGGTTAGAGCTCCTCCAGAGAGCCTCCTCGATGCTCGGTCCTCGATGTGCATTTAGAGAAATGAGATGTCCTTCAACATGGCGCGCTGAAATCCATTTCCGGGTCACTACCGGAGGACCGAGGAGTCGAGGAGGGGAAATTAGAATATTGAGAAACCTCTAGTGACTTTACTTGGGCCGCCCAGGTTTAACGGCCACCAAAGTATATTTCGCGACCCATTCATTATTATTTTTTTGTATCCGTCCGCGAGCACGACGCCATCTGCAATCGATTTACTAGTGGACAATGATCCCTCGCTTGCTGTACCTGTTCGCTCTGCTATCGCGTGGAGGGTCTGCTAACAAGCGACCAACAGAAAGGTTCATGTTAATGTTGTTGCACCTCACAAATGCCTAACACTGTTATCCCCAAATGAAAGATCACAACCTGTTTTGAAATATACAATATGAATGCACAATATGGTTAGAACGTTGTTGTATACGATACGATTCTTTAATTATCAGATCAAGTCCTACGAAATCCTGATGAATAACCCCAGTTTCCGCATTTAAATCAGTTAAAAGACAGTGGTTATGAAAACTAGAGTTTTATTTTCAACATTAACAACAATGGAGGGCTCTGAAATCATAAAACAGGTAATAGTGTGTGTGTGTGTGTGTGTGTGTGTGTGTGTGTGTGTGTGTGTGTGTGTGTGTGTGTGTGTGTGTGTGTGTGTGTGTGTGTGTGTGTGTGTGTGTGTGTGTGTGTGTGTGTGTGTGTGTGTGTGGTGTGTGTGTGTGTGGTGTGTGTGTGTGTGTGTGTGTGTGTGTGTGTGTGTGTGTGTGTGTGTGTGTGTGTGTGTGTGTGTGTGTGTGTGTGTGTGTGTGTGTGTGTGTGTGGTGTGTGTGTGGTGTGTGTGTGTGTGTGTGTGTGTGTGTGTGTGTGTGTGTGTGTGTGTGTGTGTGTGTGTGTGTGTGTGTGTGTGGTTAAAACGTAGCAGCCTGCGGCCGCTCGTTAGCTGTTCTAATGAAGGTAATCACAGTGAAGGCACAGCTCTTTGCAGCTGGTGCTGCTCTTCTCAGATTCTGCCGAGTTACACGTGCTGCCTCCTGGTGCTGCAGAGATTTCATGAAGTGAAGGAGGTTTTTCTTCTATAAAACAGCTGTGGGCAGCAGATACTGTGAGAGTCACAGACATGAATACATAGGTCAAGGCAGACTGGTTCACAGACCCTCCTGTTTTGCCGATCTGGTGCTTGAACAAATAGCTCTACACCCCTGGCCGAAATGTCCCTAAAATGAAGTCCGAGTTTGAAATATATCTCAAATAATGTATGTATTTCCCCACATAAACATAACAGTCTGCAATGAAACTGCTGTCTCCTATGCGCTCCACTTCCTACTTTCTCCTGCGAATGAGATACTTTCTCTCTCTTTTTTTTTCTTTCATTGCCCTCTCCCTTCATTGCTTCGCACAATACAAAAACAAATGCAAATATTTTATTTTAAAATTCCTTTCGAGTCATCTGTCTCAAGCCTAAGTCAAGTCTCAAGTCATGAATACCAAGTCAAAGTCAAGTCGAGTCTTTTATCAATGTTAGTCAAGCAAGTCTCAAGTCAAAAAATATGCGAGTCAAGTCGTGTGACTCGAGTCAAGTCATGTGACTCGAGTCCCCCACCTCTGGTATATACTTTGGTTAGAACATTGCTGTATTACTGTATCAAATATAATACAAATATAATAAACACAAACAGTTGATAAGTAGTATTTTGTTAACTCGAGGTTTATATTAAGTGAGTTTTTATTGTGTTAACTTGTGTATTTATGCTTTTTAGATTGACTTTCTCTCTTTCTCTGTCCGTCTGTTCTAGAAACCGAAAGGAAGAGAGAGACGTCACAGCTGTCAGCAATGTGACAAATCCTTTACAACATTTGGAAATTTAAAGCGCCACCTGCGTATTCACACTGGAGAAAAACCGTACAGCTGTGAAGAGTGTGGGACAACTTTCACTCAATCAGGTCATCTCAAAATACATCAACGGATTCATACTGGAGAAAAACCTTACAGCTGTGAAGAGTGTGGGACAACTTTCACTAAATCAGGTCATCTCAAAGCACATCAACGGATTCATACTGGAGAAAAACCTTACAGCTGTGAAGAGTGTGGGACAACTTTCACTAAATCAGGTCATCTCAAAGCACATCAACGGATTCATACTGGAGAAAAACCTTACAGCTGTGAAGAGTGTGGGACAACTTTCACTCAATCAGGTCATCTCAAAGCACATCAACGGATTCATACTGGAGAAAAACCGTACAGCTGTGAAGAGTGTGGGACAACTTTCACTCAATCAGGTGCTCTCATAGCACATCAACGGATTCACACTGGAGAAAAACCGTACTGGTGTGAAGAGTGTGGGAAAACGTTCACTAAATCAGGTGCTCTCATAATACATCAACGGATTCATACTGGAGAAAAACCGTACTGGTGTGAAGAGTGTGGGAAAACGTTCACTACATCAAGTGCTCTCATAGCACATCAACGGATTCATACTGGAGAAAAACCGTACTGGTGTGAAGAGTGTGGGAAAACGTTCACTACATCAGGTGCTCTCAAAATACATCACCGTATTCACACTGGAGAAAAACCGTACTGGTGTGAAGAGTGTGGGAAAACGTTCACTACATCAGGTGCTCTCATAGCACATCAACGGATTCATACTGGAGAAAAACCGTACTGGTGTGAAGAGTGTGGGAAAACGTTCACTACATCAAGTGCTCTCAAATCACATCTTCGTGTTCACACAGGAGAAAAACCATAGTGGTTTTAAGAGTGTGGGAAAACCTTTTCTTAAAGTATTCACCTTAAAGTCCATGAGCGAGTTTCACTGTTCATTAATCTGCTTCATGTATCTAGAACATATGTTTTCAGTTTGATTCTATTCTTTGTTAAAATGATCAGACTACCAAAAATAAAAATGACCTGAAGTCGTGCAGGACCTTGGTCTCTGAGACTCAAAAAAGCCTTTCTCGTCTACCTGTCCACTTTGCATACCTGAGATCCTGCAGTCATTTCTCAAAGATGGTGTGGCATATAGGGAGGTGCAATCTCCTGATGATATAGACTGTATTATAGTGGAAATCTGTAACCCTAGAAAACAAGATAACATTAGGATAATCAATTTATACATCCCATGTCCAAATCTAACCACTGATATATTTAAAGAAATAACAGGCAATAAACATAGGAAGGAAGTTTGGTGTGGTGATTTCAATGCACACAACAGTCTATACAGACAGTAACGGAAATATAGTGGAAGAAATGCTGGAGGAAAGAACACTAGTATGCCTTAATGATGGACATGGCACAAGAGTAGATGTACACAGGGGGAAAGTTTCATGCCTGGATATGACATTAGTGTCAAACTGTTTGGTTCATACATGCGAATGGTTTGTTTTGAATAACTCCACTGTAGGAAGTGACCATTATCCAGTGCTTACTAAAATGAATACTAATGTATATATGCAGGAAGGAGGTGTAATAACCAGGTGGTGCTTTGCTAAAGCTGATTGGGGGAAATGTAGGATATGGTGTGAGGAGTCGGTACACCTGCTAACATCAGAGGGAAGCATAGAGGTAATTACAAGCCAAATAACGCAACATATTCTAAATGCAGCAGAGAACAGTATACCCAAAACAACAACCAAGGGTAGGAAGAAAGTGGTGCCATGGTGGAATGAGGAATGCAGCAGGGCTATTAAAGAGCGAAACGATGCATTTAGAGAATTAAAGAAAAACATGACACAAAATAATGTTATGGAGTATCAAAGGAAAAGGGCAGCTGCTCGAAGGACAATCAAATACACAAAAAAGAGAACATGGAGAGAATTGTGTTCTACCATTGGCAGAGGAGTAACATTAGGTGATGTCTGGTCGATGGGGAGAGGCCGGCAGTGACAGATAAAGAGAAGGCAGACATGTTAGGAAGGACACTTGCAGCAGTACATAGTGGGGAACATCTCAGTGATATTCATAGGCAGCAAAAACAGCAGTTACTAGCAGAGAATGAAAACGTGAAGGAGAAGAGACAGGATTATAGGTCAGCTCTGGATGTGGAGTGAATAATGATGTGGGAAAAACATTGAAAATGAAAGAGATAATGGCAATAGTGTACTTTGACATTGAAAAGGCGTATGACTCTGGAGGGAGGGATTACTGATCAAATTGAGTAGAATGGGTATTGGAGGGAGAATGTACAATTGGCTAAGGGCCTTTTTAACAGACAGGACATTTAGAGTAAAGGTTGGAGCAGATATTCCCAAACAATTTTGAAATAGAAAATGGTATTCCCCAAGGGAGTGCAGTCAGTCCAATATTATTTAACATCATGATCAATGATATATTTACATGTTTAGACACATGCATCCAATCGGCTCTATACGCAGATGATGGGGCTATTTGGATGAGGGGAAGACATGCCCCATACGTAATGGAGAAGATAGCTAGAGCGATTAAAAAAGTGGAGAGGTGTCAGAAAGCAAGTCATGCTACATGGTATTCACAAACAAACGCAAGATTGATGGCCAACAGCTAACACTATATGATCGTCCAATGACAAAGGTGAATGAGTTCAAATACCAGGACTGTGGTTTGATAGCAAATATACATGGAAAATGCATATTAAACAAGTGGAAACAAAATGCTAAAAAGTATTAAATGTATTGCGATGTAACTGGGGCGCAGACAAACAAGCATTAATAGACATTTACAGATCAATTACATCAAAAACATCACTTAAAAATTGATAGACTACAATATAAAGCATTGCGGTTGTGTATTGGAGCGATAAAGTCATCCCCTATCAATGCAGTTCTGATAGAAGCAGGAGAAACACCTCTGGAGATCAGAAGAGAGAAACTTGCTCTGTCATACTGGGTCAGGCTACAAGGAAGTGGAGAGGAAAATATTACAAACAGAATATTACAGGATTGCTGGGAATATGCTCAATTCCAGGGGCGTGGGTTTGGCTGGACGAGTAAGGAGAGAACGAGGGCATATGGAGTGGAGAATATCACGTTTGCTAAAGCAACCCCATTTAGCAGTGTTCCTCCATGGCTTTCCCCAGAAGCTAAAATAGATATGAGTATTGTAGAAAGGAAAAAAGAGTGGCAAGTAAATGAAGTGGGAATTAAAACAAGTATGTATCTGAATTAAAAGTACTACAATTACCTACAAATTTACACAGAAGGTTCTAAGAACAAGGAAGAGTGTGTTGGAGTTGGTATATACATCCCAGACTTTAAAATATCTATTTCAAAAAGAGCGTCTGATCAATTATCAGTGTACACAGCAGAAATGCTTGCTGTAATAATAGGATTACAGTGGGTTGAAGAGGTCAGACCAGATAGGGTGGTGATATGCACAGATTCATTGTCCATATTACAAAGCATACAATCAACAACTGCCAGAGAAGACATTCTCATAGAACTGAATCATAGCCTGTTAAGACTTCACAGAGGCGGTATAGATCTGCAGTTCTGCTGGGTGCCTGCTCATGAGGGGGTGAAAGGGAACGAGTGTGCTGATAAATGAGCAAAAAGTGCACTACAAAAGGAAATAACATTACCAGTTCAACTTGGTAAAAGAGAAGGAAAAGCAGTAATTAAGAAGAAAGGGATGGAGATCTGGCAGAAAAGGTGGGAGAAAGACCAGAAAGGCAAAGAGTATCACAAAGTGCAAAAGACAATTACAATTAATATTTATAAAGAAAGAAACAGAAGGGAGGAAATCATGATCGCTAGACTCAGAATAAATCACACGGCTTTGAATGGTACGCTGTATGTCATGGGGAAAAGTGACAGTGACAAGTGTGGGAACTGTGGAGTTAAAGAAGATGTAGAACATATCTTGTTACATGGTGACATCTATAAAGCGGAAAGAGACAAACTAAAGGCTAAAGTTTTAGAGGCAGAGAGGGAATGGAGTGTGGCTGGTGTTTTGGGAACAAAAGGAGAGGGAGTAAGAGCTACCAGAAAGGCACTGTTTACATTCTTGAGTGAAACTGGGGTAGGAAAAATAATTTAACATTAGGTCAGGAAAGAACATAGGTTTTTTGTTTTATTTATTTCATGTTTTTGTTGATTTATTTATTTATTTTGATTAGACCATAGGTTAAAGAGTTGGAATGATATGATGATTCATACTCATGTACAGTAGGTGGCGGTATGCACCTTTTAAGTTGTTTACAATCCGCCAAAAACGAGAGAAGAAGAAGAAGCTCGTGACTCACCTGTCAACTAATTTGCTGGTGGCTGGAGCACGGCGTGAATGAATTGTTTGGCGTGGCAGCCGTTTCGCACACTCGCATCCGGACAGCGCATCTGACTGCCGGTGCGGTGGCGGAGAAATTGCTCCGCTGGAGACTCCCCTGGGCGCAGTGTTGTTATCATCTGCGGGATTTTGCCGTGGCCTGTGCGTCTCTCTCTCCCCTGACGGCTCGGGTGCTGTGCTGTGGCTGAATAGATTGGGTGCTATTAATTGTTAGGCCCACCTTCGGACAACTGGTCCTGCTGCTTTGGTTCTTTGCAGTGACTCACTGCTGGGATAAACTTGCCAAGATCTGAGTACTTCTACTTTTACTCGAGTACAAGATCTGAGTACTTCTACTTTTACTCAAGTACAAGATCTCAGTACTTCTCTCACCTCTGAAAATTACTTTTGTTATCTGTAATGTTTGAATTTCAATAACTGTTTGATGAAACCTATCAGTGTCACAAATCAAATGTAACACGATTTCCACTTTGTGAGCATTTCTCAGGGAGAAAGGACCGTTGAAATGTGTATTGTATTGAATATAATTCTAATTCAATTCAAAATGCAAAGGTTTTATCGTCATATGCACAAAGCTACAATGTAGAAATGGCAATGAAATTCTTCTGACCCGAGCTAAATCATTCATGTTTAAAAATCAACAACAACATGTGAAAAAAAAACGAACTTTATTAATATTCACAGTTTAAGACAAACACATTAAAGCCGAAAGACAACGTGAGATCACCATCTGTACAATCAATAACAAAGAAAACCCAGTGAGCATCACATCAATAACAAGTCACATGTATACAAGACCTACTGTATGAGGGACATTGCAAAGATCTGGTCTTTGGGTTTGAAAAACGAAATCCTGCCGAGTCCTCAGTGAAGGTTTTGAGTACCTGTTAGGCTCACTGTAGTCTAACAAAGTGTTCGTCCAACATGCTCCAACGCTAGGAGGCTACAACCTGTCATACCATCCAAATGATAGAGCCGTTAACGAGTGCGTTGTGTAGAAAAATGACTGACTGGTGAAATCTCCACATGACATTAAACATGAAAACCCTGCCGAAACCAAACGGACGAACAGCCGCGTGATGTGGGTCACTTTAAGGCAAATTAACAATGTATGGAAGTCTGTGGCTTAAAATACTAAAACTAGTTAACCACATTGAGATGTAATGTTCCTCGTGTGTGCACATGATGAATGACAATATTAAAATGTTAAAATCCAATGCAAAAACGTGACATTTTGAATGAAAGCCACATAGATGATTGCCTTTCAATGTTGGCATCTCATGTAAATGACATTCAACTTGCTAAGACCAAGTGTAAAGACCACTGGTATTCAATATTTAACTCTTCATTCCCGTTTAAAATCTTAAGTAATTTTCGTAATACAGCCTATAACACTATATAAATATATATAAAGCCAATAATATTCTCAATACATTCCCCTTTTTTAACAGCCAACACAACTTTGTAGGCACTCAGTTTGAAGAACGGAGGAAATTAACAACACCGAAATAATCTTAAAAATCACAATTTCATGATGAATTCAACAGTGGCAAAATTCACCAAGATATCACAGCTGATGTTTCACCGTCACCTCAAATGTGCTTAAAATCCATTATGGTCTCAAAACGTTTGACCTTTTAAAAGACAACAGATTAAAGTCCTGATCTCGTGTGTTTTCTCCTGCAGATTGAATCATGAATTAAGTTATTCAAAGAAGTAAAGTTAGGATTCTGCCTGAGACATATTGAACACAGTGCTGTTAGCTTAGCATACCTTCTCTAAGGTCTGGACAATTGGGTAGAAAAAGCCTTATTGGATGTGTTCAATGGGAAATAAACAACTACATACATGACGAGAAATGCGCCGAAAGGGCAAGCTTCAGTAACATCCCAGATTTGACTATAAAAGGTAAAAAAAAAGTCCTTTTAGTATCCACGGTTTGATGCCATCACAGGAGAGAACCAGCGCTGTCAGTAGTCGAAACATTTCATGATGGCTTCTCGGTCAAATTTGAAATTGAGGAAGACCTTGGAGGACAGAATGTGCTCGGAGTCTTTGCTTGGAGATCCTTCTGTGAAAAGAGAAGCTCATTTACTCGTATAAACACATATTTGTTATTGTTTGTACAATTGAAATCCTCTTATTGTGTTGAGTATGCAGTCAGGAAATTCCTCATATGTGTTTAACCTAATATGCACTTCTGATTGAAAGGAAGATTTGTATTCCCCACTTAGTTGTTTTTCATTATTATATTTTGCTAAGTTAGCTTCAACAGAGTACGTGCAGTCCCAAAGTTACACATGCAAAATGGACAAACCTTTCTCAAAACTGTCTTGCAGTCTTCTGGGTTGAAGTCTTTTATCTTCTTTCTGTAGAAAAAGTATAAAAGCACAACACTTGGAATAAAAATCATTCACAGAGCAGCAAAGGTTGATCCTTTTAAAATGATACATACCTTTAAAACTGGTCTAACAGGCTATCTATCTATCTATCTATCCATCTATTACATTAGAGCGACTTACATACATTCAGTACTGTGGACAATCCCCACAGGAGCAATATGGGGTGAAGTGTCTTGCCCAGGGACACAAGGACATGCTGACTGCAGTGGGACTCAAACTTGCTATCCCCTGATTTGAAGTCCATCATACTATCCACTGAGCCACAGCCTCCATCTATCTATCTATGCATCTATCTATCTACCTACCTACCCATATATCTACCTATCTACCTATCCGTCTATCTATCTATCTATCTATCTACCTATCTATCTACCTACCTACCTATCCGTCTATCCGTCTATCTATCTATCTATCTATCTACCCATCTATCTATCTACCTACCTACCCATATATCTACCTATCCGTCTATCTATCTACCTATCTATCTACCTACCTATCTATCTATAAGGTTCAACATCAGATGTTCTTTATACTTTAAAACAGAAATCTGAAACCGTTATTGTACCTGCTGGTTGTTGGCCCCATTATCAATGGCTCCTTTCTTCACCGCAGACGAGTCCTGACTCTTTTTACCATTACTTTTCAAACTTGGGCTCTGCAGAGGAAACAACAGGAGTTATGAGTTAACTGTGAAGGAGCAGCTCTTCTTCTGGTGATTGCATTTACCCTTCAACAATCATAATAAGGTGGTAATATGTGGTGTGGGTAATCATAAACATGTTTCCCAAAAATCTTATTTCCTGCAATATTCTGACATCCAATGAAAGAATTCCCATTGCATTTTGTTGAGGGACTATTAAACAGCTCTGTAAAGAACATCCATAAACATGTATCTGTTTGCATCTTGCTAACTATTTATCTAATATATCATATTCCATTTACTTGTATATAGCCTTTTCTTGCACTATTTATATTTTATCTGTATTTACTTGCACATCTCAAACATTCTCTGGCACTATTTTATCAGTTTTATTTGTTCTATGTCCTATATATATTCATGTTGCACTGTTGGAGGAGCCTGTGACTTAAGTTGTTCATTGCCATATCTACACTGTAGCTAATGTACACATGACAATAAAGCCTTGAATCTGAAAATCTTGAATCGTGTGATGCTAATGTTTCACCACTCAGAGTGCAAGAGCATCATAGGTGTCGAAAAAAGTTCCTTTATTTACTCAAACAGACACACAGGCACCAGGGTTGCGGTCGAATAGTCCAAAAATCAGCTCCTAACGTCTAACCCTATCGTCTATCCCTTGACCTCGGAGTGAAACGTCATGGGGTTAAGGGATAGTGGATAGGAGAATTCAAAAGGACTTAGGAGAAGAGACTGCGGTACTTTAGAGAATCGACTGCACTTTCACTATCCGACGTGTTTATGATGCGCCAGCGGAGGTCATAAATGTGCGCCTGCTGCTGTGGGGAAACTATGGAAACTACAGTTTTCTATACAGCGGACTACAACATGGATGTTTAATAAGAACGAGGGACTACTGTAAACTCATCTAGAGACTCTGCACCGTGCTCTGATGCTGTTGTTTTATGCTTTATGAACGGGGACAACAGAGAAACATATTCTTCATGACCAAAGTTGGAATTGAAATAAAAAAGGAAAGTGAAACTTATGCTCGTCACCCTCTCCCTCCGGTCCACATTAATACAAATGATCCCAATACGTATGATTGTATGAAAAGATCTTAAAATATACAAATGTATTTATTATAAACGTTAGTCCTTAACATCTATCACTGTGTATATCACCATTCAAACATCTTTTAAAAGTTGAACAAACCCCACACAGCTCAGTAAAGACTGTGAAATGTTGACTTTATTTGATCATTTCAGTAAAAACTAACGTTCATATTTCTCTTTTTGATTATAATACTGATGAACGTTCAAAACAAAGCACTTTGGCAACTTACCACATACGTTTTAAAATGCTTAATAAGCACCGTAACTTTCATGATATCATTTCTCGTTCATAATCGGTTGTTTCCGTGAACGGCCGACTGTTGTGTGACGGCAAATGCCGCGGCCGCAAGGCATTGTGGGGCAGCATTTTCTCCTCTCCTTTCGGTTAGGGAGGTCCAGTGGTTCCTAAGCTAAAGGAGGTTATAAAGGAAGTTTGAAACCTCCTTTCCTTTCATCTAGAGAATTCAAACGGCTCTTATCATGGCTGCCACTGAGGGACATCCGGGTCATTTCACTCCGTTAGGAACCTTCCTAGGCAAAACGGACTATTCGACCGCAACCCAAGTCGGCAGAGGTGTGGACTCGAGTCACATGACTTGGACTCGAGTCAGACTCGAGTCACCAATTTGATGACTTTGGACTCGACTTGACAAAATCACAAAACACTTGCGACTCGACTTGGACTTGAACACCAATGACTCGGGACTTGACTTGGACTTGAGCCTTCTGACTTGAGGTGACTTGATAATTTAATTCAGGGGTCTCCAACACGCCGATCGCGAGATGCCGCTAGAAGAGCAGACTCCCGTCGGGGAGAGCAGAATCTTCAGCCGCTGCAACTCTTGCTGAGAATCCTTGCAGGCAGGGGCGGGTCTTTATTTAGCTGGGCCACCATGTGGCCAATCATATGTGAGGACACACTAGGATCATACCATTATGTGAAAGAAGGGTGGGGGGCAGACGCTCCAAAGACAGCAGGTGTAGTGGTACAGGCCAGCTACAGAGCCACGGGGAGCCGGATTTAAATGCAAGCGCGTCGGAAGAAGTCAAGGCATTTGCGAAAACCGAAAAAAGAAGCAGCATCTGGCTGCATTTCAATGATATTGGAGAAAGCAAAGCTGAGTGCAGGATTTGTAAAATGAAAATAACCTTCAGAGCAGGGTTTTTTTTGTGGTAACCACTCAGGATGTATTGTCAGAGGTGGGAGAAGTTCAGATCTTGTTCTTGAGTAAAAGTACCAGAGTGTAGGAATACTCGGTTACAATAAAAAGTCCTGCATTCAAAATGTTACAAGTAAAAGTACAAAAGTATTAGCATCAAAATATAGTTAAAGTACCACCTGCAGAGGGATCTAGATTCAGGTGTTCTTTTCCCCATAGAGACGCCTCGCTGCACATTATCCCTTGCATAAAGATAGATTGTGGGTCCCTTATAACATGCTGTACACAGTGGAAATAAACATTCTGGTTACCTCAACATCAGGGATCTAATACATTAAACTCCTTCTGAATCAAACCGTCACGGTAGCCTTACCTTACTGATCCCTCTTACAATAGAAGACAAACACGTTACTTTACCAGCAGAGAGAAAATTGATTATTAAATTATTAATGTGACTAATAAAGAGCAGTTTGATTATTAAGTATTATTCTGTTGATGGATGTCATTACATTTGGTGAAAAGCACATAAGGACTTGTTTAAGACTCGTTTTGTCAAAGTTTAGGACTTGGACTTGACTTGGACTTGACTTGAACTTGCCCATCCTGACTTGAGACTTGACTTGGACTTGAGTGCAAAGACTTGAGACTTGACTCGGACTTGAGTGCAAAGACTTGAGACTTGACTCGGACTTGCAAAACAATGACTTGAGACTTGACTCGGACTTGCAAAACAATGACTTGGTCCCACCTCTGCAAGTCGGCATCTACAGCACACGACACACTTCTTCTTTTTATATAAAGAATAAATCAATAATAAACAATAGCATGACCTTCCCCCTTGTGGCATAAACATGCATGTGCAGGTAGACAATTAAACCTATAGTTGCTACACTAACTTCCGGGTTGGCATACAACAATACGTCATCACTGCGCCGCTCTATAGACATGTTCACTTTCAGAATGATGATTGTGAATTGTGAAGAATGAAAATGTGATCATATCACCTCTGTTCTCATTTCATTGGCTCCCAGATATGACTTCAAGATTGTACTATTAACCTTTCAAATCTTACATGGACTAGCAGCTCTGTATCTGTCATCATTAGTTACCCCGCAAATATCTACCAGGCTCCCACGATCACATAATGTCTCCTTTCCGTCCCCAGAATTTAAAAAATCATCCGTAGGTGGCAGAGCCTTTTCATTCCCTTTGGAATCGTCTTCCATTTCTGATCCGCGAAGCTATTTCCGTTTCAAACGCAAACTCAAAACCCATCTCTTCGCATCAGTCTTCCTTGTCAACTAATTTCCATCACCTAGTTTCCATCTACATTAGCATCACTTCTGTCACATGCTTTCATCACATTGAAATACTAATGTTGAGGTATAATGTTTTTATGCTATGACGTTTGTATTTTGTTTTTGTCTTTGCACAGCCCTTTGAGGCATTTCTTGTGATTTGGGGTTGTAATAAATGTTGATTTGATTTGATTGTGGGGAAGGGGCTTTTGAGATGTAATGAACTATAAATCTAACATTTAGTAATAATGGTAAATGTAAAGTGTTTCTGTAACATAGTGTCAGTGTCTTTTCTTTCACCTGGTTGATCTCGTACTGGCTCAGCTGGCCCGCCGCCCTCTGCTTGTTTTTGGCCCATGCCTCTCCTGGAAATGCTTCATTACCTGGGAGGCGGCGAGACTTCGACCTGAAAGATGGAAGAGAAACATAAAGTGGACATTTTATGTATGCCTCTAACTTCTTCTTAAGGGTCCAACAGTGTTAACTTTAAGAAAACACAACTAATATCTCTTTAGACCCGTTTGTAATCACACCAAATTAGCAAAAGTGGTTATTAGAGGATGTCCAAATAATCATCAGACAAATCAAATCAAATTCTTTAACTTTTTAATATTGTGTATGTTAAAAGCCAGCCCCAAGCGATGCAGATTAACACAAAATGATGACATTTTACAGACAAATCTGACACACTAAATACATTTAAACCAAACATGAAGCAATTAAGTGAGACATTTTAGTTTGTAAGTAGGTTCTCAAAGACTAAAGTGACCTTTGGCCTGTGCAAGTAGTGTTTTTTTATTCTAGCTTCTTCAATAAAAGAAGATGCTAGCTGTTTCTGGAGACTAAGCTAAGTGTGTGTGCTAGAAAACTAAAACAAGCAGCTGATAAAAATCTAAAACACTCATAAGAGCAGAGGGAACGGCAGAAATAAGTCCCATTTCATAAAAACACAACTTCTAGCTGTTAGATGGTTTGTTCTGCTGAAGACTGATGTAGCTCTTTACCGAGCGTTGTCTGAAGGTTTGTTTGGAGTGTTTCCGTTGTTTGCAAAGTCGTCGTCGCTGTCCGTTGACTCTCCTTTCAGCTTATTGATCCATTCTCTCAGCGGTCTGTAGAGAGGGAGAGGACATCAGTAACATCAGTCAGTATGAGGCAATAAATCACTTTCACTTAAAAGGTAGGGTAGGTAAGAACGGAGAAACCAGCTCGAGTGCGCTAGAATTTGAAAGTACGCAGCCTTCCTTACAGAGCCCCTCCTCCAACACACACGAACGCGCACATGACCAATGAGGGCACGAGATACGTTTGTGCACAGATGGAAGGCTGACAGGCAGGTAGGCCATCCAGTTATTTTAGCCGGGCCGGCTCAGATGATTGGTCGTGCTTTTTACAGTACTACGGCTTCCACAGATGACATTTTTTAATGTATTTATTGTCAAAGCATTTAATATATTCATTGCTATCGGGATGTTAAGAGCATTCCATGGAATATAGCAAGTGTTTCTGAAGTGAATGACCTACCCCACCTTTAAGTCCAAATATACACATTTTATCAACAATGAGGGAGTCATACATTGTTATGCGTTTTCAGACAGAGCACAGTATACAGGGATAATAATACATAAGATTTGTATACAAATTATTTATCTAATATATCATATTCCAATTACTTGTATATATCAGAATCAGAAACGGGTTTATTGCCAGGTAGGTTCACACATACGAGGAATTTGACTTGATGTAAAATTCATATAGACTCTCCTTGCACTATTTCTATTCTATTTTATTTGTATTAGCTGTCCTCCCTGCTGGACAATATGTCCCACCCCCCTCCAGGACACCCTGTCCTCACTGTGCAGCTCCTTCAGTGACAGGCTGCTGCACCCCACCTGTCACACGGAGAGATACCGCAGGTCCTTCCTTGCTGCAGCGGTCAGACTATACAACCAACACAGCCCCTAGTAGACCCCCCCTCCCCTACACACACCACAACACAGACTATATCACCCCTTGCTGCTAAATACCAATCAACTATGTGCAATATGTGCTATATGTGCAATATATATATATGCCGTTAATAACTGTGTAATTTATACCTGGCTGCTAAATCCTTAGAACCGTTACAAGGTGTGTTTTTTTGCATTTTGTATCTTGTAAATTGTGTAACTTGCTGCAGTTAAATACCATCAAACTATGTGCAATATGTGCAATATATACATTACATACATATGCCATTAATAACTGTGTAATATATACCTGGCTGCTAAATCCTAAGAACTGTTACAGGATTTGTATTTTGGAAAGTATTTTTCTTTTACCTTTATTTTTTATATTATATTTTTTATTATATCATAACTTAGTACTTTTTTCTTAACATAGGTAACATTAAGCTGTCTGTGGCTCTTTCCTGCTGTAACGATGCAAATGTCCCCTCTGTGGGACTAATAAAGGTATTCTGATTCTGATCACTTGCACTATTATCAGTTTTATTGTGTTGCACTGTTGGAGGAGCCTGTGACTTAAAGGGGACCTATCATGCAAAATGCACTTTTGTATGTCTTTTATACATGAATATGTGTCCCCGGTGTTCCAGGGAACTCACCAAGTGTCAGAAAACACAACCCTCTCTATTTTCCTCCATACCCAAATCTCTAAAAAAGGGGCTGCAACGGATCTGATAAAAACTGATCCAGATTTGAACACTGTCCTGACGTCAGGACGGTGGCGCTACGGCTATTGGGCCAACTCCACCAATCAGGAGGAGACAGACACGGCCATTGCCGTTCGAAAGCGCTGGAGACGCTGTAGTACATATGCCAGGCCTGTAGGTGGTGCTGTTCTGCCCTTATCTGCCCTTACAAACACAGAGCTAAAAAATGTCAAATTGAGCGAAATGAGGCATGGCTAAAATGCATGATCTGTTTGGTATTTTGAAAAAAAAAAAGTATAAATATGCCTTATATAGGTATGGTCCTACACTATATTCTTCAAATATAGCATGATAGGTCCACTTTAAGATTTGAAATGCCATACCTACACTGTAGCTGTGCAGATGACAATAAAGCCTATGAACTTCTTTTCGTCTCACTCTCAGAAAGAAGGCAAAAACATATATGTTCCTCTAATGGAAAAATACTAATGATAGATGAAAACCTTGCTCACCTTATGAAGGGAATGGCCATGAAGAATCTGTTGGGGGCGAGTCCGAGTTTAGACTTTGGCGTCATGTCGTTCCTGTGACACGGCAGCTTCTCAATAGGAAACCACTCGATGTTCTGCAAGAGAGGAAGATTTAGAAATGTTTATTTCAGCGACAACAAGCAAGGCAAGTTTATTTATATAGCACCTTTCAACACGAGGCAATTCAAAGTGCTTTAAAGACATTAAGAAACATCTTATAAAATGGCATTCAAAAACACTCATTTAAAAGCAAAGATAATAAAACATGAATAACAAAAGGTACATGAATAAAAGTGCAACCCAATATTCAGAAAATCCAACGGATCCTGGCACGGATTCGTGTAGCATATAAAATGTATTTGCTCCCAGACATTCATGTGGCTTGCTAGATTTGGACCCCATCTGTAACCCCAATACACGTAGGAGACTTTAACCACCTACAGGGGACTAAGCAGTGTGAAGAGACGAGGGGACAGAAGTATTCCTACCCTGATCTCCTTCCTCGTCCGTGGGTTGAACTTTGTGTCCTGCGACACCCCGGGGATGATGTAGAGCCGAACCACCTGATCCGTGATCTTCTGCTCGAGGAACACGTCTTTGGAAATACGATTCTTTATGTCGAAGCCCGTCTCCTCCAGCACCTGAAAAACACCCGGGAATATGAGCTATGAACAGTGGTGTAAAGTAACTAAGTACATTTACTCAAGTACAATGTTGAGGTACTTCTACTCCACTACAGTTCAGAGGTACATGGTGTACTTTGACTCCACTACATGTATTTAATACCTTTAGTTACTTTACAGATCTGGATGAATGATGTGAAATATAATCAAGTGTTAAATCAGACTTTAGTTCCACCTGGAGTAAATTCACAAGCTACCCTGCAGTATACAAAGTCATTCAAACTAGCTGCACCTTTACCAGCATTGAGAACACTTTCATGATCAATCATTATAAAACATATCATATATATTATTCTGAAATGGACCAATCTGCACAATGACTACTTTTACTGTCACTACTTTAACTATATTTTGATGATAATACTTTTCTACTTTCACTTGAGGAACATTTTGAATGCAGTACTTTTACTGTAACAGAGTATTCCTACACTCTGGTACTTCTACTTTTACTCAAGTACAAGACCTGAGTACTTCTACTTTTACTCAGGTACAAGATCTGAGTACTTCTACTTTCACTCAAGGACAAGATCTGAGTACTTCTACTTTTACTCAAGTACAAGATCTGAGTACTTCTACTTTTACTCAAGTACAAGATCTGAGTACTTCTACTTTTACTCAAGTACAAGATCTGAGTACTTCTACTTTCACTCAAGGACAAGATCTGAGTACTTCTACTTTCACTCAAGGACAAGATCTGAGTACTTCTACTTTCACTCAAGTACAAGATCTGAGTACTTCTACTTTCACTCAAGTACAAGATCTGAGTACTTCTACTTTCACTCAAGGACAAGATCTGAGTACTTCTACTTTTACTCAAGGACAAGATCTGAGTACTTCTACTTTTACTCAAGTACAAGATCTGAGTACTTCTACTTTCACTCAAGGACAAGATCTGAGTACTTCTACTTTCACTCAAGGACAAGATCTGAGTACTTCTACTTTCACTCAAGTACAAGATCTGAGTACTTCTACTTTTACTCAAGTACAAGATCTGAGTACTTCTACTTTCACTCAAGGACAAGATCTGAGTACTTCTACTTTTACTCAAGGACAAGATCTGAGTACTTCTACTTTTACTCAAGTACAAGATCTGAGTACTTCTACTTTCACTCAAGGACAAGATCTGAGTACTTCTACTTTCACTCAAGGACAAGATCTGAGTACTTCTACTTTTACTCAAGTACAAGATCTGAGTACTTCTACTTTCACTCAAGGACAAGATCTGAGTACTTCTACTTTCACTCAAGGACAAGATCTGAGTACTTCTACTTTCACTCAAGTACAAGATCTGAGTACTTCTACTTTTACTCAAGTACAAGATCTGAGTACTTCTACTTTCACTCAAGGACAAGATCTGAGTACTTCTACTTTTACTCAAGGACAAGATCTGAGTACTTCTTCCACCTCTAGCTATGAACTACAAACATTACCAACACATGGCTCTGAAAGCTCTCAGTTGGTAGAGATTGTAAAGCAGGGAACATGAGACTCACCTCTCGCACGGCACAGTCGTGAGGAGCTTCATCCTCATTAACTTTCCCCTTTGGAAAGCCCCAGCCAGACTTAGCGAGGTATCCCTGAACCAGCAGAGCCTGAAGAGAAGAGAGAAGAAATGTACAGTTAGCTTTCTCTCCTACTTCCATTTTCATTCGAAGCATAGGATTAGTTTTTTCTCAATAACCACAATCATTGCATTCATAGTTTCTGCAGGAGCCACATGTAAGGTTTCTTTATTTTCTATGTTTATTATGTTGTATTTTTCCCTCGTTATTGGTGGTAAGCAGGGGCGAACAGGCCATCGGGACGAATCCCGATGGGCCGGGACTGAAGTGGGCCGGTCGGACGATGTGGGCCACTCGGATAATTTCCTCGTGGTATTTACTTGCGGCACCGAGGTGGGCCGGTCGAGAGTCCCGGGCTGATTTGTAGTCCCAGTCCGCCCCTGGTGGTAAGCGTGTTCACTGACGGTGTGCGATGAATGGTAGTGGTTATATTTGATTGCAAGAATAAATGCTTCGTCAGGTAGCCTATTGCTGTAGTGTAAAAGTATAAAACAACAACTCACGTTTTCTAGAGATTCGTCCAGAATGATGGCTCCAAAAGTAGGCACTCCCATCTTGTACTCCTTCCACTGCTCCAGGATCTTCTGGACGTCTTCTCCATTAGGCAGCAGGAACGGACAGTGATGGAACAGTTTGCAGCCGTCAAGGAAAGGAACGTCTACTGATGCTAACACAACTAACGTCACAACTAAACATGGAGAAGTTCAGTTATTATGCTCCAAATATCTGGAACAAACTCCCAGTAACTAAAAAATAATAGGTGACCTTTACGTCTTTGACATGTAAGGATATCTGCTTTGGCGAAGTCTCTGATCCCGCAGTGAGGAGCTCCGGGAGTGTTCTGCATGCAGAAGTCCAGGTAGAACCAGTGGGCGAGCTCGATCTGGAAACACACCCGGATAGCGTTGTCCCTCTCCTCGCTGGGGATGTGCAGGATGAAGCGGCTGGAGAAACACGGGAGAAAACACGGGCGAAACGGGATCAGAATAAGAAGCTAGTGATGTGTAAACACTCTGAGAGACTCACGAGTTACCAAGTAGCACAAAGTAGGGACATTGAGAAAGATTAAATGAATGAAGATGTCCTAGGGTCAATCAATAATTGTGAAACAGAATTTGTTTTTTACTCAAGTCTTTAACAAAAAATAAATGAACTACTTGCGCCAGTGTATGTAAGAAAATAACTGTTCAATAGGAGCTAAGCTTCAATTTAACTTGGCAGCTCAAAGATAACAAAGCAGGAGGTGGTTATTGATCATTAAAGTGTTCTCAAAGCTGGTAAAGGTGCAGCTAGTTTGAATGTCTTTGTATACTGCAGGGTAGCTTGTGAATTTACTCCAGGTGGAACTAAAGTCTGATTTAACACTTGATTATATTTCACACAATTAATCCAAATCTGTAAAGTAACTAAAGGGATTAAATACATACAGTGGAGTAAAAATACACAGTAGCAAGACATAGAAATCATCAAGTAAAGTAAAAGGACCTCAAAATAGTACTTCAGTAAAGTACTTGAGTAAATCTACTTAGTTACTTACATCAACAACAACAAAACAATACGTCATGCATCAACGCAGAGCGCCAGTTTTGGACTTTGCCTAGCAACAAAATCCCATTAAGTCACATTTATTTCTACTATTATCCCTTAAATGTACAATGAGCAAACAAAGAGGTCTGTAAAGTCGGTAAGGACCCGGTGCTCGGTACCTGCAGAGGTCGTCCAGCATTCCGGTCGGGATCTCCACTCTTTTTGTTTCCATGTTGGAGGAAAACATCGCGATATCTCAGAGCAAACAGGCGCTACAGCCTTAAGAACATCAGCTCCATCTGCACGTGCACCTCAGGTGAGCCCCAGACCAACATTAGATACACCAAATCACCTAGAAATTTTAAAAACAAGTCTTCTTGTTCATCCACCGAGAACTGGAGGGATTCTGCTGCTTCTTCCTCGTTTGCTTCTTCTTCTTCTTCTTTGCGGATTAATACAAACTCTTATGTGCATACCGCCACCTATCGTGCAGGAGCATGTCGATCACAGTCTGAAATAAGAAAGGGACACTATATTCTATTAACAGTGCAGTGTTCAGAGGGGGGAGAAGTACTCAGATCTTGTACTTGAGTAAAAGTAGAAGTACTCAGATCTTGAGTTAAAGTAGAAGTACTCAGATCTTGTACTAGAGTAAAAGTAGAAGTACTCAGATCTTGTACTTAAGTGAAAGTAGAAGTACTCAGATCTTGTACTTGAGTAAAAGTAGAAGTACTCTGATCTTGTACTTGAGTAAAAGTAGAAGTACCAGAGTGTAGGAATACTCTGTTACAGTAAAAGTCCTGCATTCAAAATGTTCCTCAAGTAAAAGTAGAAAAGTATTCTCATCAAAATATAGTTAAAGTAGCGACAGTAAAAGTAGTCATTGTGCAGATTGGTCCATTTCAGAATAATATATATGATATGTTTTATAATGATTGATCATTAAAGTGTTCTCAAAGCTGGTAAAGCTGCAGCTAGTTTGAATGACTTTGTATACTGCAGGGTAGCTTGTGGATTTACTCCAGGTGGAACTAAAGTCTGATTTAACACTTGATTATATTTCACATCATTCATCCAGATCTGTAAAGTAACTAAAGGGATTAAATACATGTAGTGGAGTAAAAGTACACCATTTACATCTGAACTGTAGTGGAGTAGAATTACAAAGTAGCAGAAAATGGAAATACTCTAGTAAAGTACAAGTACCTCAAAATTGTACTTAAGTACAGTACTTGAGTAAATCCACTTAGCTTCTTCCCACCTCTGGCACACTTTGGCAATATTGATTAGGTTTAGAAAGCTGTTTTGCTACCTTGCTCAAGCTATTTCAATTTTTAGTCATAATTTACAATAACTCCCAGACTTGTTACCGCCATTTTAATCTGATGACTTAAACAATGAGCCGACTCACTATCTAACTCGAGGCTTCAAAACTGGCGAATACAAACCAGTGTAGGGTGTTCTCATTAGATCCTTTTCATCCTTGTTTACACTCATATCTTATAAACCCACACCTCCACGTGCATAATTAAACGTGTAATATTTTGCACAATTAAACCTAAAGCTATTGAGTTGTGAAGGAGTTTCATATTCATCGTCTGCAGCTGTATGGTAGGTTAGGTATTCTTTGAAATAAATCCCAAAGAATTCACAATTCTGGGCTTGAATTCAAATCACATGCTTAATACTGGGATTTAATTAAATGGGTGAGTGCTCTGCCCCCCTACTAACACCTCTTTGTGCCAAATCATCAAACTAAATCTGGTGAGGCAATGTGAAGCAATGTCCCTTTCTTCACCGGTCTTAAATTGCATGTTTTTTTTTAAACTAATTCCACTAAACTTTACTATATGATAGAGGTCATGTCATCTCTTACTCACAATTGTCAGTCAGCATTCAAACAATATGTGTGACTGATGATTGAACCATGATAAGATTGACGGTGCTGCTGCCAGTGTGTCAGCTAAGCACAGATATACATCCCTGCCCACACGAACATAAGTCCTGAGTGTGCTGCATTGGGCAGAGTGTCATGTCCTGATCAGCTTATCACAGGGAACAGGAAACCTACTCTGACAAGTACTCTGATCTGGTCGAACAGTTCACCAGCTCAAAGATGCAAGCAGTCTTTCAATGTCACATGGGCAGAGATGGCAACAGTTCACACATCCTTTACTCTAGTAGAAGTACAGAGTGTTTAAAAATACTCTGGTAAAAGTAGAAGTACTGACTAAACTTCTTTACTCAAGTCAAAGTAAAGAGGGCTTTGAAATGTACTTCAGTAAAAAGTACCCATAACTAGCAGCTGTTTTAAAGAGTACCTGACCTCCCTTTATATTAATAGAACAATAATGTCATTGTTAGCTAATGAATGTTTCCATGCTGAACAACGGCAACATGACAACGTTTTCATTGGTCCCTCTTCTTTAGAGAAGACCAGGAAATGATGGATACACGGATCGTGTTCAAATCAATAGGCACGCAATGACTCTAAATAATAATGATCACGCCACCAAACACACATTCAGACTAAAGGAACCAGCCTGTTTGGAAAATGTAAGAAGTAGAAAGTACAGGTATTTGTGTTCACAATGTAAGAAGTAGAAAGTACAGGTATTTGTGTTCAACATGTAAGAAGTAGAAAGTACAGGTATTTGTGTTCAACATGTAAGAAGTAGAAAGTACAGGTATTTGTGTTCAACATGTAAGAAGTAGAAAGTACAGGTATTTGTGTTCAACATGTAAGAAGTAGAAAGTACAGGTATTTGTGTTCAACATGTAAGAAGTAGAAAGTACAGGTATTTGGGTTCAACATGTAAGAAGTAGAAAGTACAGGTATTTGTGTTCACAATGTAAGAAGTAGAAAGTACAGGTATTTGTGTTCAACATGTAAGAAGTCGTCAGAAAAATAAGTTGTGGAGTAAAGTACTGATACCAGAAAAATGTACTTAAGTACAGTAACAAAGTATTTGTACTCCACTACTTCCCACCTCTGCACATGGGAAGGAACGGATGATTAGTGAACGGTATAAAAACATGTATCATTTATGTTGCGCACTCCTCTTGTGATTCACCACTCGTCCATATCTGCTCCTGATAGGAAGGGACCTCTCAAGGACAGTGCATGCTTCTGTTACTTTGTGTACTTACTGTAATGAAAAAAACAATGAAAGAACTTGTTGTGAGTCACTGAGTGAGTGGTTCACTGATAAAGCTCAGGAATCAACAAGTTGAGCTGTCTGTGGTTGTGTCATACATGTGAACAAATTCAGGTACAAACGTGTTGTCATAAAGCAAACGTATTTTAAACAGGGTTTTTTCACGTTTGGTAAAATGCTTTTACATCCTAAAAACAATCAGTAAATCAAATGCTCTGACCAATGTTTTTGAAGGACTTTAACAAATTATGAATTCAGTCATTTCATTCAGACTGGAACGAATTATTGGACATCCAGTCTACCAGCTAACTATCTAGCTAGCTACCTACCTAGGGGGCTATCTACTTAGCTACCTAGCTGCCTAACTACCTAGCTAACTACCTATACCTACCTACCTACCTACCTACCTACCTACCTACCTACCTACCTACCTACCTACCTACCTACCTACCTACCTACCTACCTACCTACCTACCTACCTACCTACCTACCTACCTACCTACTTACCTACATACTTACCTACCTCTGGCTTCAATAGCTGTCAGGTGTGAATAGTAACAGTAGCCATGTCAATAATTTACGTTAATAATCATACTTTTATGTTAATGATACACGTTTTGGAGGAGTGACTTCGGAGGGAGGTCTGAAGGGAGGGGGCTGACAGTGTTACCAATTCTTAGACTAATTAAAAATATAATATAATCGTATAGTCATGCTTGCTTCTCCAATGTTATCTATTCAAGCTTTAAGTCTACTCATTATAAAGTAAGTGGACCCAATTGCACAAGGCACAATGGTCTCATCATGTGCCCGTTTCTGTAGGTGACATAAAGTTCATGGGTGCAAATCACTGTGTGTGTGGCTGTGGGGTGACAGGCACAGCTGGTGTTTGGGAGAGCGTTCAGGGGGGTAACAAGTCCCTAACAGGCTAAGTGATGGATGTCTGACTGCTAAGCCTCACGCTACAAAGGAGCCACGAAAGCTGCTGAAGACACTCAGACTAAAACCTGGCCTGGATTCACTGGAGCGCCAGGGTGCAGATGGGTCACACAAGGACGCAGGATTTATACCAACGAGGTGTTTGCGTCTGTAAACATCTGTCAACAAAGTGAGTGAAGAAAGACGTATGCAAGGTTTCAATTCGCCCATCTATTTTCTTACCCTTTTTATACCGTCAAAGGTGCAGTTGAAGCGGAGTATATAAACACATAAATTACACCCACATTTGCAACCCTGATAGGCTGTACCTCAAAGACCCTTCAACAATAAGTAAGGGAACAATATGTGGAGACTTTCTTAGACAAACCATCATCATATCATTGAGACAAATCCACTCAAAACTGCACAATAACACACTCACACAGATCTTTATGAAAGTTAAACTGAGATCCACCCTTGTATACATGCATTCTTTTTGCATTTTGGTACACTTAATTTTAGCTTATTTAGCTTACATTTGACAAATACATACCTCTGTTTCTGTGCATACAAATAAATCATGATCAGGTTACTCCAGATAATCCACAGACCTTGTTGTGATCGGTTTGTTGTAAGGTTTCTCTATTCTCTATTTCTGTATCTACCGGGCCTAACCCTAACCCTAACAAACCCCCACTCAAATCAAAGTATGAACAACTTAAAACTAGAAATCTAAACTGTACCTTATTTGCAATTTGCTTTAAATGTCGCTTCTCGTGTGCCTTTTCCACAGTTAAACAGTATACATGTGTTTCTTTTAACACATGTCCTCTAAAGACATTTTTATTGTGTTTTTATTTAATATGTTATGATTCGTATGATGTTTTAATGTTCAGGTCAATCTTAAAGGACAGAGAACAAGAATCCATTGGTCGTTGAGACTTGAATGAAGTCGTTTTAAATTGTGCCAGTTTTTAATGATTTATGATAGTTTCTTTTATTTGCATATTGACTGGTTAATGTGCCATTTAATTGGTGTTTTACGACCGCTGTATTCGTCTGCCTGTATTGTTTAGTGTTCATTTGTTGTAACTTTGTTCATGCTGCCCTCTTGACCAGGTCGCTCTTGAAAAATACATTTTAATCTCAATATCTCAGATATATATGCTTTGTCAAGCACTTTGTGACTATGTCTGGGAAAAGCGCTTTATAAATGCATTTTACTTACTTACTAATTTACTAATTTACTAATTTACTTAGATACTTTGTCTTATGTTTTGCAGCTTCTTGTCTTCATGCCTTTCCCTTAGCAGTACAGAGCTCGGGGAATGAGCATGCGTGTTAGCAG